TCCCAAACACATTGTGCGTGTCTAATGATTTGTCCCAATTTGCCCCAAGCTCTTGCAGATCTTGCAAGCAACACTCCCTGGCCTCTTTGCTGATCGTCGTGATCACTTGTGCTCTTCGTGTTTTTTGGAGTCTGCTGGGCTGCGGTGTTCTGCGTTTGCGCTCTTGCACCGTTGCCGCCCGCTTCGGTGACCGATGCCCAGCACTTGTAGTCATTGTAGTTGAAGTTTCGCTGTCACTGCTTCCGCTTTCCAGCAATGTTACAGGCACGCCAGCTTTCAAGGCGTCTGCTGGGTCGTCATATTCCGTTCCACCAGGACTATAATATACAACACCTTACTTACATTGGCGCTGTTGCCACCCTCATGCTGTTTCCCGAACTCCTGGTGGGTTTGGCCAAATCAAGACTCTGCAAGGCTTGTGAAGGTGATCTGAACGTTTACACTCCTCTACCAGCCACTCAGCCACTCAGCCACGCAGGCTTTTCTTCCTGTCACCCACTCTGCCACTCAGACTTTTCTTCCTGTCATGTCACTCAACCTTTTCTTCCTGTCAGCCACTCAGCCACTCAGGCTTTTCTTCTTGTCGGCCACTCAGCCACTCAGTCACTCAGACTTTTCTTGTCAGCCACTCAGTCACTCGATTCTGAGCGGCTGAGTGGCTGACAGGAAGAAAATCCGCGTTTCCACGTACAATCAAAACCTACATGAACAAGAATTAACTCTCGAGCTAAATCCGCCCACGTGTGCGCAGGCTTCAAAAAGAATTAACTCAGGAGTTAATTCCTAGACATGCCCACGGGTGAAAGACAACTACCTCCAGAGGTAATTCAAGTCAACAGGTGGTTGAAACGTATATGATCCTAAGGAATTAACTCAAGAGTTAATTATCTTTATCTCCGGAAGTCACTCCTTTTCAGCTTATCTCTCTTGTTCATCTCTGGCCGTTTCTTTTTCGGGCACCAAACGTTGGGGTGGTTCTACCATGTTCTCAAGTCGGACGTCCCACCCAACGGGTGCCATTCTGAACGAGCCCCAAACTCGGGCGGTCTCTTCGGCGGGGCGAACGAGGCCCACCGAACGACTGCACCGAACGTTCGGTCCGGACCGCAACCGCGTAACTCATGTTCAGCAAACCCCTGGGACTGGGACTGTCAACTTGGTCGCCTCAGAGACACACCGGGAATATGGTTCATATGTTTTCTAGGCTGGCGAGACCAAACGGCTGACTGGCGGAAGCCGTTTGGAAACCTCATATCTTTTCATGCACCCGCTGTGCCCGCAATCGAAACCTTGTCCGCTTCGGACAGCTTCTTCCAAGCTGCTCCTGGCCACAACCGTTGACACGCACAAGGCAGTTTGTCCCCAAACTTTGAAGTCTGTGTCCTGTGTGAAATACATAAATCATAGTCCTCGCCAAAACCAAATATGTTCGACACGAGGAATGGGAGACTGAAGAAGCTACAGGAGTCGCAGGATTCGAGTGGTGTCTTTTTCCCTTTCTGCTTGAGACATTCAGGCAATGTCCGTACCGTACCCACCCAAAACGTCTCAACCCAGATCTTCCGACACTCCCAGTTGGTCTCAATCCCGCCTCCCATCTTGCTAACCTCGGAGGCCTTCTTTCCTTCGCAGGCCTGACAAAGGAAGTTATCCTGTGACCTTCCCGGGAGAATATGGCAAAGCTCATCGACCTGGTGCTTAGCAAAAGGGAAAACGGCAAAAATATCGGCGGACACCCTGTTAAGGACGGCTTTGCAATGTGTAACAAGGGCATCGCTACTAGGAGCAAGGACGCTACAACAAAGGGCATCGCTAGTAACAAGAAGCTACGATCGTAACAAGGTAAGTCGGGGAAGGTCTGCCAAGCAGCTGAGTCCTGTCCAGATCCTCTGCGAATTTACGCTTCAGTGGATTATGAATCTTCAGATCAAACTTTGTGTTTTTCTGAATCCAACTTTGGCAGGCACCATTCAGCCAACAAAAAGGACCCATCGATCCCGAAAACGGCCCTTGCTCGTGCAGTATTTGCGGCGGTGGTATTTGCTGCGCCGTGCTCGGTTGAAACATCTGTTGCGTTTGGCGGTTGGGCATCTGTGGCATATGCGGTGGAAGCATCTGCTGCACTGCTGCTGGTGCTGTTGCTGCTGCTGTGGCTGCGGGGGCATCTGTTGCGGCACATGCTGTGGAAACATCTGCGGCACTTGCTGGTTGGGCATCTGCGGCATCTGTTGCTGCTGCTGGGACATTTGCTGCGGCACATGCTGTTGAAACATCTGCTGCGCTTGCCCGTGGGGCATCTGCGGCAATTGCGGCTGCAGCATCTATGGCATCCGCTGTGTTTGCTGGTCCGGCACATGTTGTGAACCCATAGCCACAGAGGTAACAATTACTTTGTTGGGTGCAGCAGCGCAGCCGCCCAAAGATCTGACAAAAGGCATTTGGCATTGGCAGATCCCAGGTTTGGAATCTCAGAGGACTGCTTGGGGTTTGTCGCCGTAGACGTCGTCCTCATGGAGATTCATGTACAGTAATGCTTTGGCCCCGTCAGCTGGTGGGAAGGACCGAAGCCACCAGGCCTTGGCGAACTCTGGGCCTTGGTTGTCGAAGTCTCAGCCCAGGCGTGTAGCCTACCCACATAAAGAGCTCACCAAGGTACTATCGAACTTCTGAAGGTTTTGGATGTCCAGTTTGAGCCCTCACAATGTCTCACCAGACTTCCCGATGCCCTCAATGTCTTCACTCAGCGTGAAAGAGCAGAGGCTCTCATGTTGAACAAAGGTTTCTCCTCCGCTCCAATCTCCCAATCCGAAAATGCCACTTGGCCCCTTTTTGTTACCCTTATGAGGTTTCATTATCAAGTCCTTTGTCAACTGGATCGCTGTTGCATGCAGGTCAAACCCTAGTCACTCTGCGTACTGTGGGATCTTCATGGACAGCTTGCCAAACCGGTATGTGTCCATTTTGGGTATATACTCCTTTCCAGTGGTGCTGACCACACTAGGCCCTAATGTCCTGAAAGCTCTTCTTGAAAGCAGCCCATGGACAGTCGCATCCCAAATCACTCTACCTCGTCCATTGTGACTTCCATGGCCTCTGGGATAGTGAGGGCCAGTGGGATAGTGAGGGCCAGTGAATATCAGTTCCACAGGAAAACCTATCCACCAGCGTGATCCCCAACGGACGCGCCGAAGCTTGCGCCGCCGTTGTTGCCGTCGACGTGCAGTTGTTGTTATGGTTATTGCGGTTGCTGCTGTTGTTGTTGCTGTTGTTGTTGCTGTTGTCTTTGTTTTTTCTGAGACGTCAAAGGAGCTCCCCAGCGGACTTCTCTGACAGCTATAAATATACATTGATGGTTTTGTGTTTGGTAATAAATGGATTTGGTTTTCGGCAGGAAACGCACTGCACAGACCGCATCAGACGCTGGTGTCACATGCAAACGCGGAAGAATTCCGCGGAAGAATCCGCCAGCCCAGCGCATTCGTTGCCCAGCGGCGCTTCTCCGCCATAAAAACGCCATAAGCACCTCAAGACACCAGCACCCAACAAGCAAACCAAATAGCCAAGGCCCATGTTCCACAAGATGTCATGATGATCAAAGAATAAATCTACCTGGAGATCTTAACCTACTTTGAGGTCGGTCCTACCGTCTGCGGTCCCTTCCCCTCCCCTCGACTCTCCACTCTGAGCATCCACGCGCCAATTTGTTTTGGGTGTGTCACTTTTAGGCTATATCAAGATCAAGGCCCATTTATGTGGCAAACCTGCCTAATTAGCTTTTCAAGTCCAAAGGCGATCAAAGTAGATTCTATGCCAAGCAACACTACTAGTCATATTTACTTCCCTTTGTAATGTAACAACTCTGCCATCAGGTGCGACAGGCAGATCCGAACCAATTCCGGAAGTCACGACCTTTGGCTGGATCATCCGACAACATCCCTCTTGTTCGATGGATTGTCAAAGACGTGCTGAAATGTGCCCATTCCACTTCCACGATCTTTGGGCACTATTCTATACAATCTACTGAACAACCCCTCCATGCACAGAAGAAGACCGAAGAAAATGGGTTCCAGCTGCACGTCCCCTGCCATAGAGACCAAGTGAACCAAACACTCATGCACACGCCTGCCTCCCACCGGCTTCTTTGGTTGTTCGCCTCCGCAGTGGACTGTCGAGTGTTGGAAAGACTGTCCATGACTATCCTGTCCTTTGGTTGTTCAATCTCTGCAAACCAGCTTGGAAGAAATACGGAAAAGCGCGGAAGCATCCGTGCAGCACGATACGTGCTGACTTCTTGCACCAAATATACGGCCCGACACGCCTGCCATGGCGACCTGGTCTGCGAGGCCCGAGCTGCCCAGTCGCTGCGCAGCAGAGCTCTCGGTGGTCTCTGTTTTGGGCCAAAGCTTCACTCAGAGCCGGATCTTGCTTGCTTGACGTTTGAACTTGTACTCGGACACGCCGTTGATTCTCTTTCCCAATCCAAGTGAGGCTTGCTTCGTTCATTGATTCTTTGTTTGATTGCTTGTTTCTTTGTTTGTTTTACCAGTCATCTGGTATGAGTTTAGGGTGCATGTTCGAGCTGCAAAGGCTAGAAAACCCTTATGCCAGGCCTACTCTTTTTGGCAGATGTCATTTGTCGTCCTTCTATCACCAAAGTGTACCCAGGTCGGACTCATTTGCGACATGGTATACCGCACCACATAGCCATCTGCTCTGCATTTTCGCATCCTGCCTAAAAAGAGAGGCTGACTGATCACCCGTATCAGAGGATCCATTTGTGGTACCAAAGCAAACATGTCTTTTGGTCCTTCTCTTGTACTCGCATTGCCAAAAAAGGGTGCTCCAATTTCCGTGTACATATCTGTTATAAGCAAAAAAGGGCTAGGGCGATAGATCTAGACACCGAATTCAATCCAATTCATCTACAGTACATTTACAGACCTCACTTCAAACCAATTCGATGCGAGGCCTAGATCCCTTTCTTCCTCCCTCCAGTTCGCCTTTGAGAGCTCTCCGGAGCCGGTGACCTGCTCTGACTTCCGCAGCTGGGTGGCTCACTGAAAAAATAGAAAACCCAGTTTTTAGGGTGTTAGTAACAAGAAGCTAGTAGCAACAAGTGCCTTACTAGTAGTAACAAGAAGCTAGTAGATGTTTAAGCCCGGGGGGAGGGGTAGGCCGCTAGAGGTAGTTAGTAGTAGCATGTAGTAGCATGTAGAAGCTAGGTAGCTAGTAGAAGCTAGGTAGCTAGTAGCTACAAGAACGCTACTACCTAGGACACAGGATAGCTCACACTTCTCCAAGGAAGCTCTCCCTTTAGGGCGGCGGGGGAGCTTCCTTGAAGAAGCGCTCGCACTAATGATTTGCTTCCTAGATTTTTAGGGAAACTTAACTAATGTGAAAGCCCTAGCCATGTGGCCCAGGTGCCCTGGGCTCGGCCATGTTCCCACCGAGCACTTAGAATCTGTTCTATGCTGGATAGAAGCTGAAGAAACTTTCAGAGGGCTTCTGAGTCTTCAATGAAGGCTCAGAATCTGTTCCCTTGGAGAACATTAGAGTTCAATGAAGAGGACATGACATCAGGTCGCCGAAGGTTGGGGGGTTTTATACAACGGGATTTAGGAAAAGAGGCCGCCTTCAGAGACGTTGGGGGGCGGAAGGGCCAACTGACGTCTGCTGATGCATCCAACGAATACCCACGCAGCCGCCCCTAGATACATGTATATCTTCCTCAAACAGTACCAGGACGATGTTAGATGCATCCCTCCGGTCTCAAGACCTTGTTCCATTCTGATCGCTCTCCATGGATCAAACAGGCTTTGTGAGGGCAGAATGAAGCTGCTTGGTTATCCGTGGTTCATTGCTATGGCTATGGCTATGTTAGGCAGCCAAGGGTTACTGACATGGCTTTCACCTGTCTTGTGTGAATCCACCCACGAGTGGGTCGTGCAGATTGGGGCATCTGAGGCCTGATCCTCCCGCAGTTCAATCTAATCATATATAATTCCCCAGGACCAAGGCCTCTTCTTCTTCTGAGAAATAATGACTTTTGGCTTCCAATCTATCCAATCGATCAAAACACACATGGTGAACATTGAAAGTGGAGTTGTTGAATGCCATGATCTCCCGAAGCCAAGGCACCATGTCGATGAGGGCCCTCAACAACCTTGGTCATTGGCAGACGGATCTTACAGTAGATGCATTGAAAAGGCTAGGGTTAAGACTTGCGCCGACAGGCAACCACTGGAAATGTGGATCTATTTTTTGTGTGAGGTCCTGAGTAAGGAACTCAGCAAGAAAATTGTGAACATAGGTTGGGGCCCGGGGTTCATGCAACATGTGGAGAAAAAGCAATCAGAAAGTGATTGTGGAGACATAGGAAAGCAAAACATAGACAGGATATTTGTGTGCTAAATAGCAAGAAAATAGTGAGCAAATAGTGAGCAAATAGCAAAATATTGTGTAACGCCTCCCGAAACGACATGTGACATATCCAGGTGGGAAGTTTAAAGTAGAAATATTGGGTGTCGATTCTGGATTGCTTTTGGATCACATGTTGGTCACTTTTGTTTTGCTTTCCTATTGCTTTTGGCTATCCAAATATGTCAATCACATCACCATTGAATCGCTTTCTGCTCACCTTTCCACTCACGTTTTCTTTGCCTTGTCCCCTATCCTGCACTCTGAGAGTGCTTTTCGATTGCTCCAATTCCTACTCCGAAATCAAAAAAAAAGTTGTTTTTGCCACCCTCAGCGGTTGGCTGGACTCCATCTCTTAAGGCTTGGGTATTACATCATACTGGTACATGGTTCTGGTGCAATACAAGATCACCCCATTGTATACTAGCTACTAGGAGGAAAACAAAAAACAACAAAGATTCTTCAAATATGTGCTAAAAAGGAGTTATCCAAATCTGGAGCCCCAAATGTTGGTTCCCTAACATCGGCACGGAAGATGGATACTAAAGACCAGCTTCTCGGCTGTTCTCCATGTCTCTGTCAATGAGGAAAGTCGAGAGTCAAGTGTTTGCGATGACCATCACTTAGAAATATGCTACTAGGCAAGGTTGGAGGGACCAGGGTGCACACAGTGCACCGCCACGATAATTGCCTGCGGAGGCGTGTTCACTCTCTGTGAAAGAAGGCCGAGACCACATACCGACAAGACTTGGAGGTTCCTCAGCGCATAAGGCATCTATGAACTGCTCCACTTGCAGATGAGCCACATGCACTGTTCCTCCACCCGTGCACGTGTTGCTCTCTCTTGCGCCTCATCCTGTGAAGGCATACTCATCAAGTCTATTGACGACAAAATGACAAGAGGGACCGCTTAGATGAGCCGGGCAAGGAATGGACATGCTGAAGTGGCTGCCAGCTTGCAAAACGGACTCCTTCAGCCCTTCAGTGATTCTATATAGATACCGGATACCTCCTAAATATGTGAACTCTGGTTAAAAGGATATCTATCTGTTTTCTATGCTCCTGGTGTGATAGCATCAGCATAAAGCCGCTTTCGGCTGGTGCAAAGCAAAAATAGTGACCCTGCACCCGCACACTCCTCCTGTGCTGCTCGCTGACGCTCTTGCGCTACTTGTGCTCGCAAGCTAGCAATCTCCTGGAAAAGACAACGAACATGTTGATCTGTCTTCTTCCCAATTGAGGCCTTCTGGAAACTACCTCCAGAGATCCAGAAACACTATATAAGTTATATAAGTGTGAACCAAGGCGAATCAAAGGAGAGGTTCCTGCGACGTGTTGAGCCTTCCTGCCCTTGACAGGATTGAGTTTGAGCCCTAGTTGCCCTTATTATATATTTGGAGAACCATGCAGCGCCCCTTTCATGAGCCTGAGCATGAGCCTGAGCAAAGGGGAACAGGAAAGGAGGCTGATGGATACGGTGTTTCTGCAAAACTCCTCCTCAAACTCCCCCGATTCCAGAAAACCTGCAGCAATCTGCGTATCATAATCAGTTGTTCGCCGCCACTTGCGCACCTTGCGAAACCCCCGTGTTCACCCCGAGAAACTCCAGACGTGTTGGTTCCACTTGACCACTCTTGAGGCCAAAGGAATTCGCCTTGCGCTCATCCGAGCTCCTTCTTTAGATCACCTGCAGTCCCTCCAACCAGCTGGTTGTAATTCACTCCCCAAACGGACAGAACCAGTGGGGGTTTCCCAGGTCCGACCAAACCCAGATAAATACAAGAAGACAGTGAAAGAATGCACTGCCTGGCCAATCACAAAGCAATACAAGGCATGATTCTGATCAGAATACTCATGCCACGTCAGCTGCTGAGGTTCGGTCAGAGCTGGCAAGAGTAAGAAGAAAATTTGGGAAATCACTTGCCAAGCCAACCCAAATACAGCAGTTAATTCTCAACCACCATTCACAACTTCAAAAATGGGTGAAGCATCCCCATAGCTGCAGTAAGCCCCTTGGCCTCCTGTAGGGCAGCAGGAGGCGACACCACAATGGCCTCCAGGAAATTGTTTTGAGATGCACCAAGATGATGAGATGGAATCGCATTCTACTGCCACAGCAAAATGAAACCATGTGAAACTATGTTATATGTCTCGATTCTGATTCTAGCTGACTGTGTGAGTGGGGCCCCTGCAATGTTGGAGATCGTGTGGGACAAAGAGAATCTTCGTGTCCGTTCACCCCACGAAGCCAACACGATCTGAAGGTGAGAATGTCCACAAGCAACTTCCTATTGTTTTGTACAAGGCATGTTGGATCAAAACCGCTTTGTTGGCAAGAACACCGCGGTGTAAGGTCGCAGACAGGTCGACAGGTCGAAGCAGGCCTTTCCTTTGCCCTTGCCATTCTTCCCACCTTTGCCACCTTTCCTCCTGAGTCGACTCGGCAGGCGGCGCTGGGACATGGCACACCGCTAGGAAGGTCTGTGCACAAGCACTTGCTGCCACAAAATCACACCAGTTGAGTGGCTTGAATTGTGAATCTCCAAGTGTATCTGTAACTTCAAACTCGGGCGTTGCGATCCCCTGTGTTGTTTACGGACTTGGTGTCTGTCCGATCATGATTTTTGACTTGATTTGCTCGTTTATATACTCTATGAGCATCATGAACCATGAGCATCTATACAGAATTCAAGGCAGAGCATGAAGACGAAGGACGGCGTGAAGTTCTGTCTGTTTCTCTACTAACCGTGGGTGGGGTCCTCGATTGAGCAACCAAATCAACCAGCAGCCAAAACAATAGGAAGATCAAGCAGTGGTTAGATCAAGCAGCCATAGCCGCTGTAATTACTGAGTCCCGAAACATCAATTCAAAGCCTCAACTCCCCCGAACTCGTTCTGTTTTCCCGCTTTTGGCCGGGGAGGATAGGCCGCTAGCAGAGGTAAGCTATAGGAGCTATTGAGTAGGTAGCTGCCACTAGGTAGGACGCAGGATAGCTCACGCTCGTTTTCTTTCATTTTGTTCCTAGATTCATGGAAGAAGTTGTATTATCTGAGGCTCATGGCACAGCCCCATCTGTTTGGGACAAAACACGTCCGATGTTCCCGACACTGGCTCAGCTGCGCGGCGACTCCGTCGAGATGTTCGCGGGTCCAAAGGTCTGCAATTCGGCGGAGATGTTCTCGGCCAAGCTCTGGGAGTTGGCTTCCTGTCGGACCGGAGTCAAGCGGTTCGAACCTGGTCAGAGACATGGCGCCACAAAGACTGCTTATGGCCATGGGGGTAGTGACGGTTGGCCAGACCTCAGAGACCTGGAAGGTGAAAATGTTAAATGGTCTAGGAAGCTACTAGTAGCAAGTGCATCGCTACTAGATTGGATGCGAGCGGGTGCCGCCCTGTTTGGCTTGGTCTCTGATTGCGGCTGTACAAGTGCTGGGGTTGCGTCACTCGGGGTTAGTGGAAAGTCAACCGACTCTCGGAAAGTCACCCGGAGAGTCGAGTGAAACGCCATGGCCACTGCCATGGCCATGGCCATGTGGTACTGTACCACATCCTCCCGCCCAAACTCGAAACTGCATATGTTCGGAACGCCTACGCTGGGACGAAACGATCAATTTGGTGTCTATGTCTTGTTTGGGTGTTGAATCAACATGGCCACACTTACTCCAGGTAGTGTTGTGAAGTCATTTGTCCTTCAGGAAACTTAAATATGAGTATAAAATGAGTCATACATATGGAAATGTAGGAAGAACTTGAAGTTAAGCATTCATGTTAAAATCACAGGGTTTCCTTGTTCCCTGATTTCTTTAGGAAAAAAAACAATCAGAACCCAAGCATCAGAGATGCTTTTGGGAAAAACCCGTTTGTTTCATGTTTTTTCGACATGTTGCAGGGATCTACATGTGTTTCCATGTTCAGTATAGGCCACACGTCGACTAGACCCCAGACACCCGGAAGGTGAAAATGTTATGAGTCGAGTTGATGTCGCCCTGTTTGGCATGGTCTCTGATTGCTACCTGGTTGTACAAGTACCATCTCAAAAAACTGGGGTGCCATGTGGGGAAAACACATTTGCCATGGCTGTTCTGGAATTGAAGATGGGCAGGTGTTGTCCAGAGTTGTGATTCAAGTGTCAAACTTGGACATCCACGCCAATCCTTTAACGATCACCTGCCAGAATGCCTGTTTCAGCTCTTCAAGGTCTGCAACCCTTGTAACGGGCAAGCTTGCGCAGTACGCATGTGGATGCAACCATTGCAACTTGAGAACTGGTATACAATTTGTTGCGCATATTCCCTCATAGGTACCTTTACGTCAGGGCCTTTGAACGAATGGGCTAGTTGTGAGGCGAATCTACAGAAAACAATCTTGCAAACTCATCAAGAGTTCAAACGACATCACGACTGCCAGCTTGAGAAACAAAACCTCACTAGCTCAACTCAATTGAAGTTTTCTGCAAATTCGCCACAATTGTCTTTTCTATCTTAAACAAAACCCCTATGGATGGTTCAGGTACCATAACGTGTCACCCTGTCTGTTGTCATGAGTTCGGGGTGACCCGTGCGGAGTGTTCAAGGCGCGGCACGCCAAAGGGCCAACATGGTCCACGGCCCACGCCTCCTCGTTCGCTTGCCTTTTCCGCAAGTCAAAGCTGTGGCACTCCCGTTCCAAGTCATCCATCGCCTGGCCAATGATCCCTTGGGCCAACTGGGTAGTCAGTAGAGGATTTCTCCAACTTTCACACAAACCCACATGGAACCTGAAAAAGAATACAGCATAGACTCCGATAGACTCGAATGTAGCAGGGTACAATGTAATGTTATAGGTATCTCTATTCCTGTATATATGTATGTGCATGCTCAGATTTATATTGATATTGATATCTCTATATTAATACTGATTCTTGTCGCGATCAATCCACTTTGATGTTTCAGAGTAGAGGGTCCCAGACCTAGTGGGTAGGAACAAAGCGCCCAATGTTGAACAACGTTTGGGCCTTGCATGCTCGGTTTCCTGCGCAGGTGAAATAGCTGCATCTTAACCCCTTTCGAATGAACAGCTTCGAATCCAAAAAGAGATCAGGCCAAGACCAAACAGCTGCCCGCTTTGCACCGTGCGGAGAGCCAATGGGTGTGCGCAAAGAAACTTGACTATGCCCAACAATTCCGTTGGGCCAGGTGCACAGAAAATGGCATGAAAGAGAGTGCACGGAGGCTGCTTGGCAGCGCACCCTCGAGGCCACACAGGTCAAAACTACCTTCCAGGGTCAGCTTCTCCAGGCTGCTGGGCAGTGTGACACCTGCCAAGCTGTGGCGAAACTTGTAGCCGAATGTCAGAATCTGTAGGCTGCTTGGCAGCTCAACACCTGACATGCTGTGATTAAACGTGTAGTCGAAGGTTAAAGTCTGCAGGCTGCTTGGCAGCATGACACCTTCCAAGCTCTGGTTAAACGCATAACCAAAGACTAAAATCCGCAGGCTGCTTGGCAGCATGCAACCTCTCAAGCTCTGGTTGAAGCTAAAGCCAAACGTCAAAGTCTCCAGGCTGCTTGGCAGGGTCAAACCCTTTACACTTTGGTTGAAACTGGGTCCGAACGTAAGAGTCCGAAGTCCACTTGGCAGCTTCGCACCTGTCAAGCTTTGATTGAAGAGTTCGCCGAAAGTCAATATCTGCAAGCTGCTTGGCAGCTTGACACCCGACCAGTTCTGGTTGAAATGGGCCCCGAAAGTGAGCGACCTCAGGCTGCTGGGCAACACGACTCCTGCCAAGCTCCGGTTAAATTCCTGACCGAAGGTCAGCACCTGCAGGTTGCATGGGAGTATGACACCTTTCAAGCTTTGGTTGAACTCATCTCCAAAGGTCAAAGTCTTCAAGCTGCATGGCCATCTCAACCCCTCCAAGCTTTGGTTGAAATCAGGGCTGAATGTCAAAGTCTGCAAGTTGCTTGGCAGCGAGATGCCTTTCGAGATTCCCAAGGACAAGGTCTGCAGGCTTGGTGGCAGAGAGGAGACACCTTTCAAGCTCTGGTGCAACGTGGGGGCAACTTCCCTACAAGTCCTCAAGCTGCATGATAACGCTGCTCCTGCGAGGCAGCGCCTAAAGTCAACGCCGAACTTCAACGCTTCAAGACTTGGCAGCCTGACATCCGCTAAGCTTTGGTTGAACTCTGGGCCAAAGGTCAGGATCCGGAGGCTGCTCGGTAGCGTTACACTTGCAAGACTCTGGTTGAATTGACCGTCAAAGCTCAATCTCTGCAATCCACCTGGCAGTTTGACACCGTCTAAGCTCTGGTTAAATAGATTGCCAAACGTCAAAGTCTCCAGGCTGCTTGGCAGCGGGACAGCTTGCAAGCTATGATTGAATTCACCACCAAAAACCAAAGTTCGCAATTTGCTTGGCAGCACGACCCCGTCTAATCTCTGCGCAAAAAGCTCACCGAAAGTCAAGGTTCGCAGACTGCTTGGCAGGATGACACCTTCCAGGCTTTGGTTGAATCTGTAGCCAAATGTCAGGGTTTGCAAGGAGCTTGGTAGCGTCACCCATGCCAAGCTCTTGTTGAATTTATGGCCAAAGGTCAATGTCTGCAGGCCATGTGGCAATTTGATGCCCTCCAAGCCTTGGTTGAAGTCTTGTCCAAAAGTCAAGGTCTGCAGGCTTTCTGGGAGCAATACACCTGCCAAGCTTCTGTTGAAGTGACTGCCAAATGTCAAACTTTGCAGGCTGCGAGGCAGTATGACACGTTCTAAACTCTGGTCAAAGTCGTCGCTAAAGGTCAAGGATGCAACTGCGTCTATTGCATTCAGATCTGCTGCACCCAAGTGCTTATTAGAGTCCTCTCCCAAGGCTCGCAAAAGGCTGACAGCTGCTTCACCTGCACCAACTGGCTGCGCAACATAGGTGATTTCTTCCCCACGGACCTCTTGCTGTATCGGTTTGGATTCATTGAGGATACGGCCACTAGAAGTCAGCACAAGTCTTCTCCCTGGGCCAAGTTGGGCTGCAAGAGCCTGTGTTACATCTCGGACCGTTGTCGTATAGGCGACTTGGAGCTCAAAGGTATCACCATTGAGACCATGAATGGAGACCCTCGAAGCATCTCTGCTTCCGTTCGAAGTGTCAGATCTCTGCCTAGCGTCTCGGCCGCTGTGAAACACCAGCTGTCTGGGTCAGTGATGCCCTTTTGGGAGGTTCATTTACCAATATATTGGTTGTTCACTTGATGGTAAAAATCAGCTAATCAATCAAGCAATAGTAGTAGGCCATCTATGGTCTGGGTCAGCAAAGAGATACTTCTGTGCCCCTTCACCCTGGTGGCCTCTCCAAACCCCAGGCTCGACAGGAGTTGGTCTCCAAGTGGGGCTGTTCAACTTGTGGCCACGGCCATGTGTATCGCCCAGTTCAACTTTGCCCACTTCCTCCCTACTTACCACAGCCATGTATATTAGTCTAGGCTACCTTATTCTAAAAAATTCCCGCTGCTCCCTGGGCACTTGCACTTGCTTCCACTTCCTCTATCGAATTAGTACTCTGGTACACAAGAACTTCTCACCTACCAGTGTCAAGAGTGGATGACAACAGCACCTAATTATACCAGCGTAGACCCCAAACAGAGCAATGTTCAAAAATGAGTTCTCCGAACAATATGGCCAGCAGTATTTCCTAGAGGAAGAAAACTATAGTCCACCATGTAGACGCACATACAAGATTCAAAGGGAAAGCATTAAAATTCTGTTTTTCATTGACTTTACAATGGGACGCCGCACAAGTGCTAAAATTAATCGGCCCACCATCCAGCCAAGCCCGGGGATACAGGGCATCCAGACAGGCCATGGGAAACAAAGTGGAAGACAAGTAAGCTTACTGGGAGCCAAGTCGAGACATGTGGGAGACAAGTGTGAAATCATGCGGCCAGAGCACTCAGAGCATCCAGAGCTTACTGGGAGACAAGTGGGAGACAAGTGTGAAATCATGCGGCCAGAGCACCTCTGCTTACTGGGAGACAAGTGGGAAACAAATGGGAGACAAATGGCAGACAAATGTGAAATCATGCGGCCAGAGCACTAGAGCATCCAGAGCTTACTGGGAGACAAGTGGGAGACAAGTCTGAAATCATGCGGCCAGAGCCCTCAGAGCATCCAGAGCTTACTGGGAGACAAGTGGGAGACAACTGGGAGACAAATGGAAGACAAGTATGAAATCATGCGGCCAGAGCACTGAGAGCATCCAGAGCTTACTGGGAGACAAGTGGGAGACAAGTGGGAGAGAAATGGGAGACAAGTGTGAAATCATGCGGCCAAGCACTCAGAGCATCCAGAGCTTACTGGGAGACAACTGGGAGACAAGTGGGAGACAAATGGGAGACAAGTATAAAATCATGCGGCCACAGCACTGAGAGCATCCAGAGCTTACTGGGAGACAAGTGGGAGACAAATGGGAGACAAGTATAAAATCATGCGGCCAGAGCACTCAGAGCATCCAGAGCTTACTGGGAGACAAGTGGGAGACAAGTGTGAAATCATGCGGCCAGAGCACTCAGAGCATCCAGAGCTTACTGGGAGACAAGTGGGAAACAAATGGGACGCAAGTATAAAATCATGCGGCCAGAGCACTCAGAGCACCCAGAGCTTACTGGGAGACAAGTGGGAGACAAGTGTGAAATCATGCGGCCAGAGCACTCAGAGCATCCAGAGCTTACTCGGAGACAAGTGGGAGACAAGTGGGAGACAAATGGGAGACAAGTGTGAAATCATGCGGCCAAGCACTCAGAGCATCCAGAGCTTACTGGGAGACAACTGGGAGACAAGTGGGAGACAAGTGGGAGACAAATGGGAGACAAGTATAAAATCATGCGGCCAGAGCACTGAGAGCATCCAGAGCTTACTCGGAGACAAGTGGGAAGTGGGAGACAAATGGGAGACAAGTGTGAAATCATGCGGCCAAGCACTCAGAGCATCCAGAGCTTACTGGGAGACAAATGGGAGACAAGCCTGAAATCATGCGGTCAGAGCACTGAGAGCATCGAGAGCTTACTGGGAGACAACTGGGAGACAAGTGGGAGACAAGTGGGAGACAAATGGGAGACAAGTATAAAATCATGCGGCCAGAGCACTGAGAGCATCCAGAGCTTACTGGGAGACAAGTGGGAGACAAGTGGGAGACAAGTGGGAGACAAGGGTGAAATCATGCGGCCAGGAACACAAGCCCGGAGACAAACTCAAAATCATCCGGCCCGAGCATGCACCCCTTTAAAAGGAGTAAGAACCCCTCACAGGTAAACCTGTTTGGGGAATAACAATTCACAAAGACTAGGTGAAAAGTATTAAAAAGACCCCAAGCTGTCAGCGAGCACCTAGCGTTGGAACCAGGCCACCTCCCCAAATAAATGATTAGGTGAACCCCAAACCAAAATGATGTCCCAATGGAATCCACTGCCAAAAAAGCTTGGAACGTTGAACCAAAAAGAGCATCTAAAGTTGCACCGCCTTTCATCCAAGGTGCCCTTCATGGAACTTCTCATCTCGCGAAGCTTCCAAAGCAGCACCAGCGCCCATCGCTTGAGTGACCCCAGGCCCTGTTACGGTCTCGGTTTGGTTGGTGTACTCTACGACATCATACAAGCAGGGACGATATCATTTCTACGGACATACTTGTCGGGACGACATTCAGAGTATTCCTCTGTGTGCGTGTGTGCACGTTGACTTTCCCCATGCAATTGATCGAAAACCCAACGTCTTCTTCCTGCTGGAACTGGCCAACTCGTCTTAGCAATGGCCAGCCATGTTAATGGACAGTTCTTGCTGCATGAATAAAGGTAACAGCTGTCCATCGAAAGGAAGCAACAGCTGAACCAGCCGAACCGTTCGGCTGTTTGAGCCCAAAGGCCTAGGGGCCGTCCGGTACGCGACGTAGGAAACGACAACTGCAAAATGTGTGCCATTGTCAAAATAACATGTTGGGAGATGGTGAACCAGAGCCCGGAGTTGATGACCATCCCTTCTAACCCACCAAGTGCTCCACCAAACAGCACATGCCAAATGTGTGCTTGTTGACTTGTTCACGCGGTTGTCTGACATAGATGCATGGCCTCTTCCACTCTTGCTGATATATTTCAACAGGATCAAAGCAAAAACTCTGGAACTGGTTGTGCCGGGCCATGTTCGTGTGCGGAAATCGTCCAACATCCGCACGACTCATGTTTAAGGAGAATTACTAACATACTAAGTAAGACCTTCATGAAACCTATTGGCAGGTCTGAAAAAGATTATGAGGAAATCAACCAGGTTCAGGAGATGAGGGTACGTACAGATGGCCGGGGCACCCCGTTTCACCGCCCCGGATCCGCCTGGCGCTCGGCCTCCACGGCGGCCTCGGCCGCTTGGGCCTTCTGCATCATGGCATCTCGACGGAGCGAAAGCTCTTGGAGCTCCTGGCGCACTCCGAGGCACTCCGAGGCACGAAGCCGCAGGCCGCACCCTTGTCAGACCGGACACGATCTTGCTCGGTGTGTTTCTTGGTTTGGTTGTTTCATCTGAAGAGATGCTGGGGATGAAGGACCGGAGAACCAGTGTGTTTTTGTTAACGTTTTTTTTGCAAGAAATACAAGTTGGATGCCGAAGTCCCTGTCACCATTCTCCCTACCACCATGAACAGGGCTTTATGAGGTTTGGATTTGTTCAGAAAGGTGTATTCCAAAAAGATCAACTCAGGGAACCCTGCGGCACACTTGCAGTGATGTCTCCTGTCGTATAGTATCCCGTTTTGTCAAAAACCTTGGAAAACGTCTTAGGTCTTCGTTGGGTCTTCAAAAATTAAGCCACGGGGAGTGAAGGCCACAGCGGTGACCTTTGTCGAGCACATTTGTCAGGGATACTTCGCATACTTCCAAGGTTTTTGGCAGTTGGACTCTAACATTGTTGCAATTCAAATTGACAGTCTCACTTGTCAGTACAACTTGACTATTGGCAAACAAGTGGAAACCTGGCTGCAGCAAAAACATTCAAAGATACAAAGTCGACGCACCTCAATATTCACTAAGTGAGCCTTGAGCATCTCCCACAACAAGGGATCCTGAAAAGGCTGATCCTGTATTCCTCTCTGAGTCGCCCATCTTAAAAAGTACATCTGCAAGACTTGTTACGGTTTCATTTCATTTGAAGATGAAAAATATCTGAAACCACCACCCAGTAGACTTTGGGGTCGCTTTTCGTTCCATCTCGTCCCATTTTGTCCGATTTCCTCGCATGGTCACGTCTCCCATTTCTGCCTCGGCCCATTCGGCCTGGGCTTGCAAAAGCACCTGCTTTCTGGCAGCGGCCCGGCAAAATATGGGATTTCTTACCACGAATATCCCCGAAAAAAAAATAGACGACAGGGTGGCCCGAAAGCACTGCAGGAGATGACAGAAAGTAACGATGAGGATGAGGATGAGGACAGTAACCTAGATGAGGTTGATGATGATGATGATGATGATGATGAATGATGATTACAATGGCGCCAACGCCAAGATAAAGTAGGCAGCATTTCCCCCTCCCAGCGCGTATTGAGGTCAGGCCTCACGTCGCTAAAAAGAAGAAATGAGGCTGAGGAGACAAAGCCCTTAGGTGAAAAAGAGGTGAGACGTAGGAAGAGTGAGACAATAGCAACTCGGGCTTTGAGTACATCTTCGTCAGGAAGAAGTAGAAGGACACTGAATTTCCCTCATCAGCATTCCATTCTCGACTGACAGAGGTGTAAAGGGAGAGCAGCGTGAGGTGACGAAGGCCACCTCACAAACGCTGAAAAATGCTTTGGAAAAGGCATGCCATACCATTAGGGAATATTTCCCTGATGATGATGATCTGAACTTTCTCCACTGACTAGGCTGCAGGGCTGCAAAACCATTCCTTCTCGGAACGTGCGTGACATCAACCGAAGAGAAGAAAAGGGTCTCAAAATTCAATGTCTAGAGCACTGGTTGCTAATTTCGACCATTACATGCCATTGCTGACGTTTCAAGCTGCTGTGGGACATCTCCGCCTAGATTGGCGCGCGCGGCTGCCTCAACAAACGCTGTCACGGAATCGGGAATACTTGACCTTGTAGGTCGTAGGTGAGGATCGGCTTGCTTTTCATGGTCAACAAGAGCGCAAAGCAAGGCATGTCGGGCTCGAACTCGGTATGCGTGAGGCTGCCGTCAATGCCGCACTTCAGGACGGCAACCTCAAGCGGGGTTTCGTAACTTCAATATGGCCCACTGCGTTGCAGCGGCGCTTGACCAGTGAAGGGCGCCGCTGTTGGTCGCGGTGTGGGCTTGGCCGCAGCAGTCGCCTCGGCAGGCGAAGGCTCGGGCATTCCTGGGATCGTGATCATTCTTCTTTGGTATCCCTTTTCCATCTTCGACTGCTTTCTCAACTGAAACGTTGGGAGGAGAGACATGCACAACTACACTCGACTGACATTCTTGTACGTTCACAGGTGGCTCACCTTCATATGGCCATTGAATGTATTCAATGTTGGCTGCAGGACTACATGGCAAAGGATGACTTGGCTGATCCTCACCTGGCTGAGGCAGGACTCACTGTCACTTGCCAGACCTGTGGTCAAATCTTCAAGCGCCAACACACTCTGGTACATTTGCATGGAATAGCAGTCTTGCAGGGACCTCCTTTGGATATAGCACGCGACACCATTGATGGACGACCTACATGTAGACACTGCGGTGTTTCGTTCATCAGTTGGCAAAACCTTCGACATCACACACAAGCTCTCACACGCACAAGTCTTGAACTCACCAAGGCACCACCCCTGGTCCTTCAGCAGCATCGGCGCCGCTTGCTGGACATCTACGGCGCTGGTGACCTGCAGCTGCTCCAAGAGGATGGCAATTTGAGCACCTTCTTGACACATCGATGTGTCCTTTGTGGCTTCTGGGCAGCGAGAACTCAACAGATGAGTGCACACATGAGTCGAGAGCATCCTGAAGCGGCCAACTTGATTCATGAAGTACTTCCCAACATCACCAGGGCCAGAGTTCAATCTCCTTGCTCTTCCTGCAAGAAGGAATTTCGATCCAAGGCCCACCCTGTGCAGTCATGAAGCAACTTGGACTTGCTCTTCGCGACAGGAAACACCGTGACCAACATCCTGAAGATCCTGAGCCCAGTCCCACTGCTGCTCCTCTCACTCAGGCTCAGTTCCATTGCAGCATTTGCAGCAGTCAATTTGCTACGGCTGCTGGGCTCCATCAGCATCAGAGCATGCAACATCGGCACACCACAGCGCAGTTGACGTTCCAACCACTTCGAGATCAGGTTCCTGGACAATTACAGTGTGCACACTGTGGCCAACCCTTCCTCACTTTGAAGGCCTTGAAAGAACACATTGATGGTAACCACTGTTCCAGGACTCCGCAGAGACTCCTACGCTGTGGCATCACACGGTGATCCTGTCAGGCCTCAGCGGTGGAACTTTTGATCATTTGATCAGGCTCAAAAGCCTGCTCAAAAGGCTAGGGCTACGCTGTGGAATATGCGGACATCTGTCCAGAGATCGACATCCTTGTTGCGCCACTTGTGCAACAGCCACGGGGATGGGTGGAATGAACTCACCAAGTACGCTGAATGGCTCCAAACCCAAACAGCTCTATCCAGACTGGGTTGCGCACCAGACCCCCAATGGCCCTCACGTACGCACCATCTCCCAACTGGCCTTGTTTGTCCACCACGACCTGCACAAATTCCGGCTTGCTGGAAATGACGCTGTCCTGACTCAGGCCTTGAAGCTGGACTTCCTGGCGCTCTGCCCTTCACTGCATTTGCTGTTTTGGGAGCTGGACGAATGGCTGGCGAGGGGAGAACTGGACAAGGTCTTCATGATGCCAGATCTATGCGCAGCCCTCAGTCAGTTGGGGCACATGACATGTACCTCCACCTTCGTCACTCGTGGATCCCTATATCATAAGTACATGGCTGACATGGTCTCCAAGCAACCACATTGCTCCGTGTGCCACTTGCATACCACTGCAGCGCTGGCGGGATTGCTTTGTCGGTTGCACGGACATCGAGGCACAGCCGCAAGATCAGGCGACACAGATCTGGGGAATGCTCAAATCCCTAGCATCTCCCATGGAGGAAGACGCATCCATCCCGCACTCCAAGCGCCAGAAGGCAGACCATCAGCCCTCAAAACGAAAGGGCAAGGGCAAGAGCAACCAAAGAACAGTGCTCCCCACTCAAACCAGAACGAAAATCTTCGACACCTGCCCGCCTCTCCCTATTGAGCCTCGGACCAGGGAGCATCATGATGAAAATGATGAAGGCCACAGAAGAGTGGCACCTGACGGAGCCCAAGGACAAGGCGGTGCCTCTTCGAATCCAAGTCCTTCGAGTACTGCTGGAGGACCTCCTGCACAGAGCTACGAAGCTGAAGCACGCCAAACCAGAAGACGACTTGATCAAGACCTCGATTCAGTATCAGTACGTGGTGATGGACGAGCAACAGCCTCTCCAATTCACGTATCTTTAGTGGACTTCCCTGTCGGTGCAACACGTGATGACACAGCTCACTCGCATGTTGGCTCTTTTTCAGCAACGCTCTATCTTCCGGTTTGGAGCCCTTTGTCCCAATGCACAGATCCAGCAAACATGAACAAAGACCATGGCTCCAATCCACCGGTAATTCTATGGCGCCTCACACTGGCCATGATTCACCAACACTCACAGGAGATGCACTCCCTGTGGCAAGAGCTCTCTCATTCAGGAGTTTGGCAGCCTCCAATTCATTTGGGGGACGAACCACAAACAGGACACTATAGGACAGCTCTTTGGGATGACAAGCAGTGGCACCTCCTGGACGACGATGCGCCCCCAGAGACTGTGCCCCGACTGCCGGATTTGGTACTGAGGAACTGCTGCCTCTTGTGGCTGCAAAGCACTAATGGTGGCGCCACGATGTGTGACCTGATCTCCCCGTCAGGAACAAATGATGGTCAACCTGAAGCAGGCCTCTCCTCAGCAGCCTTGGCAGGATGCTTGGCTGCCAGCCATTGACAGGCTGGACATTGGTTTGCTGCTGACCTGGCCTGAAGCCTGCAGGCAGCTGCTGTTCCGCTGCGTGCGCTGCGACATGCGGCCGCCTTGCCTCATGGACCACTTGAAACACCACCATGACGAGCTGTGGTCTGCTGCCGAGCGGCTGCTGGATGACTTGGCTAGGCAATTCGAGGACAGTGCAAGGCCAGATCGAATCTGTCCCTGCCATCCATACCATGCCATGGAGGATAGTATAGATGATCATTTGTGCCCGTGCTACCGCAATTTCGGAATGCTTCACAAGTTCCTACGAGCTAGGCAGTTAGACCAGGCACGTGATTGCTTGGCCCTGCAACTGGCTCGTAGCTTTGACTGACTGACCGTGCGCGGTACGAAGTACTGACCTTAGTTCCCAGGGGGTCAACGCCACCTCTCTCGAGACAGAGGGCGTAGAGAAAGAAAGAAAGGAAGGAAGGAAGGAAGGATGAATGAATGAATGTGAATGATAATGATAATGATAACGATGACGACAATGATAACGATGACGACGATGATGATGATGATGATGGTGATGATGATGATGATGATGATACTGACAACGATGATGCTGATGATAATGATGACGATGATGATAATGATGATAGTTGGGCAGTTGAAGTTGACAGCCGTTCTTTACGGAGAACCCTTCGCAGGTGCTTTCAGGAAAATAAAGAAACAACTTGCGACCGGGGGGTGATGGCCGCCAGAAACAGTGTGTTGATCTTTTTTGGGCTGTGCAATCGGATGCAACTCTGTAACCATATACTGTAGAATTCTGATGACGCCTCACGGTAAGAATCGACTGGGGTGTCTCTCTCAGGCTTTTGGTGTTCCTTGGTCAGCAGGCCTCAAGCCTGAAGTGTGATATCGGGGGCTGGAGTTATCCCACCTTGGAAGTGGAGTGCTCACGAAGAATGATGCCTTGGAAAGTTTAGAGGAACAAATGTCCATCTCATTGTTTGTTATGTTTCAAGAAGATCAAAACCGATCTCGCATCATCCGCAGTTCTCTCGAAGAAGGGATGCGCTTCACCTTCAACTCTTCACGAAGCTTTTCTTCGTCCGGCTTCGCCATGGCAAGCCGAAGATTCGAGAGACTCTGGTGACTGCAAAGGGCCCTGCAACAGGGGGGTTTGGGGTCATAGAAATAAGTGCAATTGATTGAATTTGGAGAATGTTTGTTGAATGACCCCTAGTGACCTAGTGGGGTAAGGATGTCGAGAAGTAATGACCCCTATCTATATCATCAAAAAGATTATGGCTATTTGCATGGGTCTTTTCTATGAACCTCATGGGGGAGAGGAAATCAATTTTTTGCCAATGATGGAGTTTGGGAGAAGTCCCATCAACGAGTCTTCTTTCCACTGCAGCCAATGACTTCTCATCCAATTGTCTTGCCAGGATAGTTTGGGTCTCTGATTTTAAGACGCACCCTCAAGCGCTGTGGCGATCGGAGAGAGTGTCTTTACTCAGATGACACACCACGACACCCTCATTTCCAGAGAAGTGCTCTCCGAATGTTAGCTTCAAAACCTGCGCTTCTCAATCTTAAGAAACGGGGGAATGCCTGGGGGAATTTCAAAATGGTGGAACTGGAATGTGTGATGTTTGTTGGCTTTCTGCAGAGAATAGATGAAAGCCCATGGTCGGCGAGTCCCTTGTTCTGCATAACTCAAGAAACGATGAATCCTAGGATTTTGAGCAGGCAGTGAATAGGTGAAAATCTACAACTTATATATATATATATATATACCTAGAACCTGAATGACCTCTATTTTGGACCACCAAACACCCAAAATAAGGTATTTTCCTATCAAAAACAGGTGTCAGTTGGGTTCCAGGTGTATATAGAGAGAGAGAGAGAGAAAAAAAAAAAAAAAGAAACGCTTGGTTCAGTTCTTGAAGCCACTGCTGATGGCCTACAGTGCTTCCTTGAGCCTACAACGCTGGTGGGCGTCAAGCGTGACACGTGTCCTTGCTTTCTTGTTTTGTTTGGAGCTGAAGTGTGGATCTTGCCCGGTACTCTTGGCACAACAAGAAAAAGCTTCCATTGATTCAGCACTGGCCCAAAAATTGATATCCCAAACGATATGAAGGACGGGTGCTCTCCCGTGTCGAACTTGCAAGTTGCACCCTTTTCGCTCAGAAGGCCAAGCGGTACCTCAGTGCACAGACACAATGTCGGAAGCAAGTCACGGCTTCTGAACCTGTGGAGCCATTGGACACAGTTCACTTGTAGACATTGGACACCACAAGAGCCATCAGAGGCATTCCGACACTAATCTTTTTCCGACAAAACATCAGATCGCACTTGAAGGCATCAAAAGAGAAAGGCGCCAGGCTCCTACCTCTTGAAACGTCGACCGGGCGACCAACGGCGCAGTGCCCCTTGCTCCCTAACGTCGACAGGGCGTTGTCTGCGTCGTCCCGTCCCAAGAAAACTGCGCACCGTTCAAACGCAGCTGGGCGACTCATGAAGTACCATCTCTTGCGTTACCTTGCCCTGGCAGATCCGGTTGTCCGGCCCCTGAGGAATGCGGCTGGCGTGTGAGCGGGTCAGTAGGGGTCCGGTGTGAAAAGAAGTCATAAGTCAGCTTTCCTTTCAGCTGCCATGGAGAATCAACCAAGTTGCTTTTGTTTAAGATTCAGTGATTCTCCCAAGTGGATGTTCCAAAACAATCGGGATAAGGGGCAAAAAGTGCATCCTCAAATCCATACTGTGATTGAAAGTGATGCCACCAGAACAGTTCCTTTTCAATTATGCCTTGAAATAGAAAGTGGCTGCTTCAGGTTTCATGTTGTGAGGACGCGCCGTACATGTTGAACTCCATTCAACTCCATAGATCCTACAAACAGATCAAGCGTTTCAGGCAGAGTTGAAACGTCAAGACATCTGCCACCAGCATCACTTCTAACAGGCGGGACGGATGGTGCAGGTTTGACCCCTGGTGCCCCCACCAGCTTTGTCGAACCCGAGTCTCTTTCTTCGAAACCACGCAAAATCAGCAAAAACAACTACCATCCACCCAGCAAGCAAAAAAATGTTTATCACTGGGCACACCGTTCGTCTCTCTCGAGCGGATTGACTGGGCTCCCCACCAGCGACTGTGGTAGCTCAAAGCCCTCAATCAGAAGGCGACGCTGGAAGGTCATCCCTGAGGGAACTCGTGGACGGCGCAATGGAGACCCGTGGATGGCGCCGAAGAACCCTTGTGACGTTCGTAGCTCCTTGCTACGTTCGTAGTAATGCCCTTGACTAGTAGAGATGCACGTGTTACTAGTAGCCATGCACTTGTTGCTAAATCCAAGATCACCACAGCTAACCGAATGAGAACATGCACTGCCAATAAGGGGGAGGCCTTTGTGGTTATGGGTTGGTTTTGCCTGAAGCTTGACATGTCAAACGACGTCGTGCATTTTGGATAAGATCACCTGCGAAGTGTTGGAGTTGTTCATTTTTCTTATCAACTACAAGTGGGATTTGTACACAGCAGAGCAGCGCCCAATGGCATTGTTCTCAATTGCATAGTCCCAGTCTTGGGAGTTTATATATACTCTACATTGCTTGCTTGACAAAGATCTGCATGTTCCCAGCGCCCTGCCTTCACGCATCTTTAGATGGTGCGTGACAGACCAAAGGATCCGGTCCTCGCCTTAGGTTTTCCACAGGCAATGTAGCTACACCGAAGAGGCATGCTAGTAATTCTTGTTTCTACTAGCAAACATTGTTACTACTAGTAATACTAGTAAGGCACTTGTTCCTAGTAGCTTTGGTGTTGGAGAAGCTTGCATGCTAGTAACGCTAGTACATTTGGGTTCGTTGCTATCAATCACGGCATATGATGAAGAACATTCCTGATAGCTGCACGATGCTGCCATGTGTGTCGGAGAACAGAATGCGTGGTAGGAAATATGAGTCTTCTGAATGTGCCTGCTCGGGACTACTTCAGTATATGTAGTTTACTGGGTTCCAACGTCTTGGGCATGGGCTTCGAAACGTCAAAAAGCGGATAGAGCATGTTCACTCACATTGAGGTGAAACAAGGAAAGAAACAAGAGCGGATGCTGGGATCGCTTTCCTTATAAACTAACGTATTGACAATTTTAACCCCACCATGTGGATCGGTATCGATATTTGGTAAAATAGGCTGCGTGTGTGTGTGTGTTGTTAACTCAAACTGCAAGCCAAATGTTATCTGAGTCTACTACAGCGAAGAAGCAGAACAGACAAAGCAAAGTCTGTTTCTACTGACTAAAGTTTTGAGCGCGGGAGCTAACTCCTACTATCTCCTACTACTAAGACTCAGACGCGCGGGGAGAGAGACCAACAGACTTGACTTTCTTGCTAAGGAAGTTAACATGTTGCGTAAGAGTCCCTTTTCTTGAACCCCAGAAAGAAATAATCACTCAGAGTGTCTAGAGTCTATACATAGGTAACTATACACCTACATGTGGGTTTTGACCTTTATGTGTGGAAGAACGACATACATATATATATATATATATATGTATGTGTATATACGTATGTATATCGATATGTGATGCAATCCAGGATCCGGCTTGATAATGCTGGATGTTCGTCTAGGACAGCCGCAAGGTTCGCCTCTTTTCTACAGATTCTGCTCATTTGGAATCCCGCGTCAGCGGTTTTTTCTGCTTTCGGAGCAAGAACGAAGGCACCTGGACCGAAGGCATGTGGTGGTCCATCCGCTGATGTATACCCTTCTACCCGACTCAGTAACCTTTTCAGAATAGACTTCCATATGCAAACATCCCAAAAGTGAATGACTATGGTTTTGACCCTCACAAATCTGGCATACAAGGTCACGGACGCACAGGTCTTCTTCAAACTTTTGTCTAACGAAGATTGGGCCGTTCAGTGATTTCTTGAAAAACGACCTGCTGTAGAGTGGTGAACAGCTTCTGAAGCTGAGGCTTGAAAACGCAAGGGGGAATTGAAATACTCAGAGCTCCACATGGTTGTGGGCCAAAACCCGGGTGCCCTGAAACATTGTGCTGGCGGCAGAAAAGCCTTCTGGAAGGACACCATGCCCAAGCTCTGGGTTGGGTCTTATATACATTATATACACATGTAACATGTATATTATCAATATTATATGATATCGTTGTTCCACATGAGAAAGGGCTTCAAACCCTCCAGCACATGTTCTATCAGGTTGTCAGTTCACAATCAACCTCGTTCAATCTCCTCCTAGCAGCCTGGTCCCCCAATCTTCATGCCTGGTAATCTTCCACCGGCGGCGGGGGAGGTGTGACGTGCGTGTTCGGAGGCGGCATTAGGGCAGTCACGCCCTTTTCCTGCGGAGAAATGTTGGCAGTCGCCCTCATCATGGCCAACTTACAAGAAGCAGTTCAGCCTAAGGTCCACTAATTAGGTTGTACTTTTCGCCCAACCTACATCAACCAAGAGTGGAAGCTTGTTAACGACAGGGTCCCTTTAACCCAGAGTAAGGTGTAAAGTACCGTCAAGGACTCTTAAATTTTGGCCGAGCAAGCTGGCGGGCGATCAAAACATAGGCACCATACTAGCAAAATATGTGCTACCCACCCCGAACACCATGACAGGCTGTTCAGACTCCACATCACAGTACTGATCGACTTCACATAACCAGTTTAGACCACTGCAGCCTAGCATACGTCGAACCATCCCTCACCCCGGCCAGCCCCACTGAGTAATCCTCTGGTCCAGTCGACAAGCGCACATTGCGGAAATCTTCAGCTGGCTCCTGCGCTGAGTTTAGCCAACTTGCATGTTGGCCTTGTCCTTGGCCCCTAAACCTACAACCAACACAACCAGGTCATAGAACCTTTGACCTTTGAGTTGGGCAAACACCAAAGCTGCTTCCACGTAAATAAGAGAAAACCCAGGTGACGTTTTTCGTTGGGTCAGGGGCGTCAAGAGAAAACAACCTCATCAAACGGTTGGACTTGGCAAGTCGATTGACGACAGTTTCTTAACAAATGGCGGACATAGGTGCCCTGGTACCTCGCATTCCTTAAAAAACGATTCTAAGCTGAGAAAAATGCTATTGAAGCACCTTCAACTTGAGTTGTCCTGAAAAGATTTTGCGAATTGTGCCCAAGAGGTTGCCCGATGTCACACCTTCGACACTGCTGATTATTCCGTAGATTTGATAGTCTCTTCACTTGCTGATTGTTTCACGTCACATTTTTTTAAACAATTCCCAAAAAGGTATACGAATAGTCAGTTCGTATCCAGCTTGCAGCTCAAAGAACGAGTCTTTTTGTCACCAAGTCCTCCGACTTCATCAAGGATTCCACTGTGGCCTTGGCCTGCTCCTGGCCCATCGGGGCATATGAACGAAAAGGCTGAATACTCTCTACCTAGCAAACAAAAATGGGACACGCAAAAACTAGTTATGTGTGAAATGTTTCGTGGTCCACATCTAATCTACTTGCGGATGACTATACTTCGATTGGAGTTTGCAAGTTCCTTTTCACCGATCTTTGGCATCACAACTTCCGCTTCCCCTTTGCAAGCCTCTTGAGTCCTCTCCTGCTCCTGTGCTTGCATGCGCTGGGCCTGTGCTCGGATGAAGTGGCAGATTGGTGTCACATTGTAGAGTCATGAACCCACTGCTCCAAAACGATTGGCGTGATAGCAGATCTGCTCCTTGGTGGATCTAGGAGTGACTGAGTAAGGATTCTATAGCAAGTCCACCCGCACTGAAGGTGCCGAAGTGGAAGCTTCGCCACAAGAATGCTGCTGGATTAGTCCACTTAATAAGCTTTAGCTTGGTGGGGCCCCTTGTATCTTGGAAAATGGTGTGCCTGTGACAGCTGTTTGAAGTTGTTGTGAAGAAAATGATATGGTTTCGGACCAAGCGATCAAAATGCCGGTTGTGCAGCCCGGGGGAGACTGCATTACTGACATCGTGGGTGTTTTAGTCCGTGTGTCCTGCCCGACCGAGACAGACCGAGACAGACCGAGACAGACAGACGCAACTCTATACAATTGTAGCACAGCCTGGACGATGTTCAGGAAGGCAGTCTTCACTCTTCTGAGTGTATGGAGGAAAAATCCTGTTGTCAGCTACAGTAAGCGTATAGAAGAAGTCTGCTAGCAAGTGAGCGTTACAACAATGTCATTGGGAAAGCCAAAGACAAAGACAAAGGGCAGCCCGGCCCTGCCAGTCCGATTTCGAAGGAGTTTCGGCGAATTTGGTGTGATTTAACCAGGCACCCAGAAACCAGAAACCCTAGTCATCGCTGGAACTACAAGATGATCTAAAGGTTTCACCGGTTCACCATTCCAACTTCCCTTTCTCGGCCTCTTTGGCCCTTTCCTCAGCTTCTTTCTGGGCTTCTTTGGCCCTCCTTTCTGAAGCTTCCTTTTCCTTCTTTTCTTTTTCCTCATCCTGGCCAGCTTCAAACAACCATGATCCAGGCCGAGATCCAGACCCATGAGACCCGAGTTCAGACCCTTGCACAGGCTCCAAAGCCCCTATTCGGAACCTCAGAGCCATTCTACATAGTACGGACACTGAAATTGGACCACGCAAGAGGGACTGTTCCTTTGCATTTCTTTTGTTTTGGGGATGAGATGGCAAGGCCCCCAATGTGGTAAGGCTGCGGGCGGAGAAAGACCAGCCTCATTCTGTTCAAGACGTCTTCCAAATCTCTGCTTCTAAAAAATAACAAAGAACTATTCAAAGGCCTTGATACTTCAGGTTAACTACCTCCTACCGCAACAAGAACGCGTTCTTGACTGCCCTTGGGATCGCCAAGAAGCCAAACAACCATCGGATCTTAAGGATCGGTATCAGCTAGATTGGTGGCTGCAAGCTGCTAAGCGTGAACAAAAGGCAATCAAAGACACAACTAGTCACTAGTCACCAAAATAATCAGCATCATTGGCACCAGCAGCGCACCACAAACTATACGAGCTGTTCTACATGTCCCAAGCTCATGTTTCCAGTACAACACCATCTTGAACAAACCTCATCGTGTTCTGCGCATGACTCCTTGTGTGTTTCAACCTGACCTCTTCGAAGGAGATCGCCAAATCTAGTTCCTTGAGGGATTCCTTTATATCGCCTCAAAAAGTGAACACATCTCTTCTCGTTAGCCTTCGATGAACTTCCGGGGTTCTTCCTTTAAGAGGGGATTTGTTCAAACACATCCAAGTTATTAAAAAGCAGCACTCTTGAGACATGAGAACCTCCGAATGTAAGTAGGGACGCTGACCATTCTCATTTTGGATTCGTGCTGAGACTTTGCGTAAAACAAAAAACCTATGGTAGACAGAAGCGCTTTTGATCAGCAGACTGGTTCGCCATGTGTGATCAGTTCCACCACCAGGAGACATAGCCTATAATCCACCCAAATCAGTGTGCAAGAAACACTCCAAGAATGGCGTGAACTCTGAACCCATTCTGTCGCGTGCTCTTGGTTTCTCAAATCTTGAGCCTGCAACTTCATCTTTTCGAAGACTCCTGAGTCAAGATCAAGAGCTTGGAGGCATTAGATGCTGCTCAAACAACCTCCATGTGAAATAGGTTCAGTTCCTTTTCCATCCTACCAGGTCCTACCAAGCTCGGGCACTAAGAGAACAACACAATCTCTTGAGCCATACTCCAGCAAGGTCACAGCTGCCTACAAGGCCAAACATGGGAATCGACAGCTTGGCTTCTGAGGCATTGCCCAAACCAGCATGATGGTTGTCTTCGTTGCGCCATGTGATGCCAAAGTGCATGTCCTGGTGTACCCTCTGACGAACACGTCAAATAGGAGAATCGCCCTCCCAAAAGCCAAGCACTCCAACCGACTTTCGGAGAGCTTCTCATGGCTCTGTAAACCATTCTGTTCCACAACCCAACCGTTGCCCAGCAGAAACCACAGATCATGTATAGCTTCAGCTACATCAGCCACCCAGCATGTGTTTGGAAGCTTTGGAAGTTGGGCAGCCATCAATCGCCCAAACATGATTATTCTAAAAGTCGCCGGTGAACCACTTCATGGAGATGGGGTGGGCATCTGGGTGCAAGGATTGATACAGAGAGAGAGAGAGAGATGACGACAGCACCTGCAACCCTCGGTACCCACCATTTTGACCAAGGAAAGTCAGCCTTGCAACATACGACCATCATGGTGAGGATTTCCTCGTCAAACACAAGAATGCTCACCGCAGAATCGAAATAACTATATACATCAATTGATATAAATTGATTGTTAGTTTTATCACCTGGTGATGACGAGTCTTGGCCCTTGAAGAAATGGTGAAGAAATGGCACCAGCGATCTGTTTCAAGTCAGAACCAAATCGTATATCAATTCAGTCAGCTTAAACCTGTCCTATTCAAACCCACTAGTCAAAGGAAGGACTGCCAACCCTTTAGTCTCTTGAGCTACGTCCACAAGGCTTGCCTCCATAGGCTTGCCTCTGCTGCTCTTTCTGCTGCTGCCGTAGCCCCTGGAAAAGTTGCTACATCTCAAATGCCCAAGATTGCCAAAGTGCTTCATCATGAAAACCCACTGCGACCCGACAGTTAGTATTGCCAGAACAGCTACTGGCAGGCCGAATAATGACAAAAAACACATCAGTGGCCATGCATCTATTGAGGGAGGCAATTCAAAGGATTTCCTAGCCAATCGCTGATTGGCCCCAACAAGCCTTGTCTAGCTCCAGCACAAACCCGCACCTGCACTTTGGCAAGTTGCTGTCGGAGAGCAGGATCATCCGACCTGAAAATTCCCTAACTCGTGGCAACAAGGTCGCCCAAGTTGATCGAACAACTAATGACGAAATCGGTCGACTACTTCTAGAAATGTAGGAATATACTGAATATACCACAAAAAGGTTGTCCATCTACATGAGCCTGGTTCTGGCATGGAGGAACGAAACGTGTGTTTGGTTAGTTTTCATCTTTGCTATTGAGGTTAAAGTGATTTCCTTAGAAAATTATGTTGAAACCCATTTTGTGTTGTCCATTGTTGTCCGGATATACAACCATCACACGTACCCATCTTTGTGGTGTGTACTTCAATATGCACCCTGTGTTTCACAAACCACAAAAACTAATATTGTAATAGCAGGCTCAGAAACCAAGAAGGGCAGCAGCAGCAACAACAACAACAACACCAACAGCAACAACAACAACAACACAGACCAGTGGAACAGAAGAGTGGAACAGCCGACCAACAAGAACAACAATCACAGGAAATGACAATGAAATCATAAATCTGTCACAACTTGTAAACCACGTAAACCTGGGCACCATACTTGACAAGCACCACCTCCTGGGCACCTCCTAAATCCCCACCTCTTTGCTGCTGTCCGCAGATCCTCCTCTGCGCCGAGGTAATCACCCAGCGCTTCACGCGCGGCCGCACGACGGAAGAAGGCCTCCGGGAGAAAGCCGTCGCGTTTCAATTCACTGGGTCCTTATCTTTCTATTTTTTGCTAAACTGGTTGTGTTTCTTTTCTCTCCATATTTCCCTGCCATGGCGTTTTACATATGGCGTTTGTGACGCACATTGCGATGTTCAGGTCCTTGATGTTGGGGCCAGTTCCCAGGACACGGTCGCAAAGCTGGATCGCCTCCTCGAAGCGTCCCCTGACAAGCAGAACTGGAGCAGAACAGGTCTTGCAAACACCAACCTGTACACCAACCAGCAATGGGCTTTGAGCATCACCGACCAATACTGACCCCACCCACAACCTAGCGCCTCTTGCAAAGCTCTGATAACAAAGCCAGGGTGGTTGAACCGTGCACCGCGCCTCCTCAACTGTGCCTGCGCACCATTCAAGCACATCATCGTCAGCAACTGTGCAGCCTCATCCCCTGGCACATGGGGCTTCCTTTAAACCCAAACCTCGGAACCGTACCACGTATAAATAGAGCCATCCCTGCCCAAAGAACCAGCAACTGCTGTCGAAACTCTAAAGTTTACTCTGAACTATTGATCACTATAGCACTAGGCTCTGTCGCCATCTAAAAGCCCCCAAAGCGCACCACTCTGCCAACACTACGCAGTGGACATGGCTGCATCAAGCGATTGCGGAGCCAAATCTCAACATCATCCACTTTTGCATGACTTACGCGTTTTAGGCCCTCCCAAACCATCGTCGTGGTAACATTGCATCTCTGCATCGCCACCATTTAATATAGGTCTTGAGTCTTGAGGCCCTTCACCCTTTCAGAACCTTTCACATCCTTACTCACAGTGGATGCGGGACTGAGTCCTCATTGAGTCAAGCGAAGCACGCGTGATGCTGATGACACTTGTTCAGTAGGATGAGCCATTGAGTCCCAACCAGTTAAATGTTATTCGCATGTGTCTGTGCATACAGTGTGTATATATAGATATTCAGACAAGTTTGTTTAAGTCAATGGGTAATGTGTTGCGATGTCATGTTCAGGAAATTCGGCACGGCACGGACGTGCACTCATTGCGCTTGTTTCTATCATTTTTCGTCCAACACAGCAAAGTCTCGAAACAAGACTGCCCTATTTTTCCGAGGGATTGTCGCGTTGTTTTGCGCACCTCAAGGGAGGGTTGGGGGGTGCGCCAGATGCTTGCATTCGTGCGCACACTAAAGTGTCTTGAAAAAAAGGACATCTAGTAATTGACATACTTTACATAGGAATAGCAGAATAACGATTCTTGTTAGTCAGGAAGATGTTTTCACGAACTCGTGTGGTTTTGAAAATAGTGTTTAATACAAAATGGAATTGTTCACGGTTCCATTTCACTTTCTTGCTCAACGTCCATTGCCGGCGCTCCACGCTCCGGCACTCAGATTGCTCGCCTTTCCACGCGATTTGGTGCTGCGGACTTCATGTAAATACGTCAATGAACGTAGACAGAAGCTCTACAAAGTGTGGGCAGATTATCTACAGTAAGGAAATCCCAAAAAGCTACCCCTTTAAGACTAGCATGGCCCCTGAAAACCCAGTGAGGTCATTGCATCAGGCTCGATGTGGTCCAGGTGAGTTTTCAGGAGGGTAGCTGCCAACTAGCATCGCTACTAGTAACAAGGGCATTACTACTACAAGCTAGAAGCTACTAGGAGCAAGGGCATCGCTGCTAGGAGCAAGGGCATCGCTACTAGTAACGATTCTTCTTCTGTAAAATACTGCCGACGGTCTTCGACCTCTAGGCCGCCTTCAGCTGCCTCTGCCGCAGCCGCACCAGAAGCATAGCGGCGCACGGCCCGCGCCAAGCTCGCCACATCCCCTTTCGCGAAGTGCAGGTTGCCCTCCGGAGCTGCGAAGTGCAAGTGCGGCCGCTAGGGGAAGAAGGGTTTGCAGTCCCATGGAGATCATTGAGGGTAAATATCAACCCTGGGGTCTTGGGCATCGATGCAGAACTCAATTAGAGCCGCATCCGCCAATCGGCCGCTTCTTGGGGCCCTCTGAAAAAGGTTGGGTATTACAAGCTTTGTGGATGTGGGTGACGTCAAATGGTCAACCTGTCCTGAATTTTCATCAGAGGACCCTACAAGACTAGGAGTTGAGACGAGTCCAAAGTGGGCACCCTTGTGCCACTTCGTTCTGACCAACAGGTTACGTGTCCAACAACTTGCATTGGTATATATATATATATAGTCTTCTTCCATCAAACATAGGCCACAGTACTGTACCCGGGCTGATGAAGCATGATTTGCTGATCCAAACACCGACGATGCGACGGACTATGCGTCTGCGTCGATTGTGGAAGTGACACGGTCTTTGTGATTTGCGGGAGATATGTGGTCAATAGATGTCAATAGAATATCAGGATCAGATGGGTACTCTTGCGCTAACAAACTGCCTCGTGCACAGGGTCTCAGACAAAGTGAGCATTCCCAAGATGGACAGGCTAAGTCTGACAAGACTTCTCAAACCATCAGTACCGCGTGTTGCACTTCCTTTCCCTTCTCCGCCAGGCACTTTATGGCAGTCTCACCAATCGAAGAGAACCTGCCTCAGGTGCCCCAGTTCATATGGGCCACAAAGATTCTGCTGATTCTTCTTGGAAGTCCAAATGTCGCTATTAGGTTGGAGGCCATCGCGATTAGGTTGATTCTTGGAAGTCCAGATGTCCTTCCCCGTGTGCCCCACCTGCTCCTTCTTCCTGCGGGCGAAATCCAGGCGGCTTGTGTCGTCGGGGTGCTCCAAGGGCAGAGGCTCATTGGTCACCTGGGCTTAATGGGCACCAGAGTGGTTTCAAAGAAATCTGGAAGACGGCCGTTTCAGCCGGATGCTGGAGCAGCCACACCCACCATGCATCCAGTGTGACCTGGAGGTGGTGCTAATGCCTTTCTTGTTAGCGTGCATGGCGACATGATAAGTGCTGCAGGATGATGCGGATTTACCGGGCCCCCGCATGCTTTGCAGGTTCAATGACACTGAAACAAAGGATGAAGGCATTGGTCAGTGGACAGATTGAGACAATGGCCACGTCTGCCTTTGCATCGGAACATGATCTACTGTACTGTTTCACCTAAAGGTCTGATGGACCTACATCAGATATTATCCAACCGGAGAGTCTTCTAGAGGGCTTGTTATGGGGAAGGAAACCAAAGACAAAAGCCGGACAGTTGGGAGGTGACACATCCATATCATCTGGGTGAATCTCCACCTAGAAGGACTTAAGCACGAATCCACTGGCTCACCCATGGTTCACCCCTCCCCCACCGCGGAAATGGGGCAAAGGCGTGCCTCATGCAACACCAAATAGATCCACACTGCCGCACCCCTGGCGAGAACAAGGTGTGACAGCGCTAGAACATGCTTACTGTAAAAGATCTATATGAAATCAGAGGCTCTGTATGAAAATCCATCAATGGGTTGGTCAGTTGGTCAGGGTCCGAGTTCCTTGTCTTGTGCTTGAAGTTGGCTTTCGGGGCCAGGAGATTGAGAGGAACCCATGTGTAATGAGGCCCAGGAAGACAGATTAGAAGAACGTCAATCAAGTGCATAGAAGAGTATCATATGGGTGTGTACGGTATCAAAAAAGGAGTCCTCCCAAAGAACCCCTGGAAGAAGGAAAATAGACCAATACCCATTGGTAGGGGTTCTCCCCTAAAAAATACAAATCCCAATATACTACTACATATGATGTTCACAGCTCACATGCATGGAAGGCCCAGCTAGTACTCCGGTGTCGCTTGGTTTTGATTAGGGGGATGAAGAGCCCTGGTGTGCAACCCGTTCCTCACTGTGTGTTGATGGTCAAGCATGCCACATCCTTTGTCTACCATAACTCAGCACGCGTCGCATCCTTCGTCTGCTCCTGGTGTGGAATTCCACCGATTAGTTATGTTCATTGATCAACCCTGTGTTTTTCGCATCAGCTGCACCCACATGTCACATGGACAGACCATATGCACGTGAGTGATCCCGCCTGAGTGAGGGATTTCCACTGGGCAAAAGAGGCCCCACGCCCCAGTGCTCGGACACGCGGATGCAGCAGGAGGCACCGGCCTGGAAGCCGACTGAAGGCGCGAAGAAGCCAGGTCTGTGGCCGGTTCTTTGTGGTGAAAACCAAAGTCCGTGGCAATGTCTTTGGACCTCTAAAGCTTTGTTCACCGCTCAGGAGAACATTTGCAATCCTGCAGTACCCTTTTTGTGCCATCTGCAGAGCATTGAATCCTGCGGTTGGCGGAAGCAACATGTGGTTCCTGTGTTGCAGTTTGAAGCAAAAAGCACCACAGCTCAAAATTCTAAAGTCATCCAAGGAAACGCTGCCCATGAAGCAAAGACTTCTCGTCAACAGATGCATTTACCACCCTCTAGTGTTGCTCCGAAGATGATTGGGTTTGTTCAACAAGTAGAAAGCCCAGCGCTTTGGTTCATGCCACTGGAAAAAGAAACACAACTTCGCATTCTCTTCTAACTCCTCCTGAAGCAGGGCTTCCAGGAACCTTAATCTTCCAAACAACTGTTTTTCGCTGACTCATACTAGGATACATGCTTTTTACAGACCATGCAAAAAAAGGAAAAGAAAAAAACTCTCTTGACCCAAAACCGGGGGCTTTCGCTCCAAACATCGTGTCGCCTCCAAGTGCTTCAGGGCCAGCTCAAGGGCCATGATCAGTTCATCCTTCCGCAGGGGGATTTGTTCGGCACTTCGTGTGATCTCGATCTTTTCTGCTGAGAACCGGCCGGGCCGGCCGGCTAGCTGGCTGGCTGATCGAGAAATAGCGGGCGCGACAAGCTTGCAATGGAGAAAAAGAATAGTATGCTGAAATTCAGAACAACTGACTGTGTACGAAGTGCATTTGTGGGCGTATTGTCTTGTATGGACCAGGAGCGTGAAGTGTACCAAATTCCCCGACAGGCCCAAGATCTACTCATTGTGACCCCGGTGCGGTTGCAAAACATGACAAATCAAGAATTACACTTGGCCAGAGCTCCGTCTGCCTCATCCAGCACTAGCTCGACCGCCTCCTCGGGCCTCGTCACACTTCCTGCCGGGCCGTTCGGTCCACCGTTCGGTCCGGCTGTTCGGTCTTCCGAGTGGGTTCGGGGCGGCTCAGAGTTCAGGTGGTTCGGACAGGGACCACGGTGCTTTTTGGTAACATATATTAAGTAGAATGCTAGAGTAGCCCTTTGCTTTTAGCAGCGTCCTTGCTCCTAGTAGTACGGCCAGGAGCCCCTAGTAGCGTCCTTGCTCCTAGTAGCGATGCCAGGAGCCCCTAGTAGCGTCCTCTTCCTCCTACAAAAGAAGCGAAGGTAGCTTAAAGCAACTGGACCTGTTGCTGAGGTCCAAATTTAGCTTTCCAAAGCTGAATACACCCTTTGCCACATGAGCTTTGAAAGGTACTGGACCTTTAAGTGGCCAAGCAAAGGCCATTTTGCCAGAGCTTCAAGCAAATAAACAAACGGTTTGTGGTTGTTTGTAGCCAAAGCTCCTCCCACGATCCAGGGTTGAAACGTGACCACAAATGTGGTAAGATGCCACTGAGGAGTCTCCAGCCGGAAAGTACTCCATCTGCCTAAGTGCTAGTTGCATACATTCCTGATATTGCACCCTCGACAGCACAAACTGCATCCCTACGGTGGGAATTGATTGAAATCATTCATAAAGCGGACGCTCGGTGCTTTCAGAGGATCGGACTACAGGGGAGTACCTGACGTTCGGAGCACCAGCAACCAATACTCTAGGTACTCCCCTGGAGCAAGTCCCGAATGCCACTAATTCAGAGGTGCCCCAACTGTTCCTTTCTGGCCTGCTTCGCTTGAATACTCCCCAACACCCACATTGGACTTTGGGTGAGTATTTGAGCCACTCCAAAACGGTTACAGTCACCTGGCTGGGCCCCAAAACGTCCCCAAGAAAAAGATAGAAAAAGTAGAATTCCAATCCTGGATTGACCCAATGACCCTCCAACCCTCTGTGCTGTGCCCGCTCCAGTGCTCAAGACCAGCTCGTTGTTGCGAGCGAACCAGACGCGCCAGGCCGCCCGCAGCCGACAGCAGTCCCGGCAGCATGAGGACCCCGGCGGCACCGCAAAAGCAGAGCCGGAGAGCCGCCTGAGCAAAGGGCATCACTACTAGGAGCAAGGACGCTACTAGGGGCTCCTGGCCTGACTACTAGGAACAAGGAAGCTACTAGTAGCTGGAAGCTACTCTTCGCCGTGTGAGGACCCCGAAACCGCTGGAGGAAGACGGGCACTGGTGCCGGTCCAAGGAACTGGTCGACGAAGTCGTCTTCTTTGCGAGAGAACGGTCCGAGGAACTGGTCGAAGTTCAAAAGGAGAAGGATCGATCTTTGATCTGCGATTCCTTGTGGGGGATTCTAGTCTTAGGAGTTCGGGTCTTGTGGGGAGGGCACTGGGAGCTGTTGTAAAGTTTGCAGACCCTGCTAAATGAAGAAATACAGCACGTATGTATTCCATTTGTCACACAAGCAAAAGGGATTTCCTGGTGGCGGGCTCCAATGGCATGGCCAACATGCAAGCAAACGTGCAGAGTGAGTCTTGTAGTCCCGTAGCCAATCTTTATCAAGAAAGCTATTTTGGAGTGGGAAAGGATTAGACCACAAATGTCAATCAAAAAGAAATCATCCAAGTTATCTTAGCTCATGCTTGTTCAGACTTTTGTTGCAACAAAGATCCATCCCCAGCTTGCTCAAAGGGGTTCCAGAGCATGCCCTGCCAAAAGCGGCCAGCAGTGCACAGGTTCAACCCACATCTAGGTATTATTAGGGTAGGTCTGGAAATCCTTCTTTTCAATCACTGCGTGTGGGGTGCACTTGATCTTGTCCAACTTGGGAAAGGCAAACTAGTGTTTAGATAGTTTAGACCGAGGGTGGCTTATCATTTGCATCCGTTCATCGCCCCACAACTCGAGTCTTCTCCACACCCCGCCTGAACATCATCCCCTCCGGCAACAGCAGAAGCCCTTGCTGCGTGGACAGCAGGCTCACCTGCATCACCTCACCTGCAGATTAAACGCAGAAACGCAGAACGCCTGTGCGCCGCCGACGAAGCTCATACCGAACTAACATGGGCGACGGCATGAAGCTATATAGGTGCCCTGCCAAAGACTTACCTGGTGGAACACCTGTGGGGATCTTCCACAGCCACACATGCAATTTCACTGAAAGCCTCAACTCCTGGCCAAGACATTGTTCAACTTTCAGGGTCATTAGACCGCGTTCTCGATCAACCCTTTGGGTTCACCGAATTAGAGATCATCGACGAAGGTCCGTGGAGCACCACGCCAATCTGGCAACCACGCCCGGGAGCCTTCGACCAAGACCTCCGCGGACGAAGAACGCCCTGGGTTCTTCAGCAGCAGTGCTGCCTCCGTAAGCCAGCGGGGCACCGGCCGTGTGTCCGCCTCCTCAGCGGGACCGACACAAACACCAGCAGACGGTTCGGCTCATGAAAACTCTATAGCAAGACACTGGTTCAAAAGGAAACTCGCGCTTGGGGCTGACTCTAGCCGTACTGTAGCTGACAGTGAAAATCGTGACAACCCGTTTGTAGGTTCAGCAAGTTCTCCTTCAGGATCCAATCACCTCACCCAGATCTTGGCTTCCCAAACGAATTCAATCCAATATTTAGCAAGGGGTTCTGGGGTGATATTGGAAATCCCCTTCCCGGTCAGCACCATTCTTCTGATTATGTCCGATTCAAACTACAACATAGCACTAGGACTGGAGGAAACATTGCCCTTCCGAATTTCTAGACTTCCACTGAATTGCCGATGTCAAGCATGAGAGGTCATGCAAACAAAAGTGGCAAGGATGGTACCAAACCCTCTCCTGCGGCGGTTGAAAGGGCTCGACCTCAGGTGATGGGATGGCAGAGTGTTGGCACCCGAAACTCCAAGTCTTTCAAAGGATGGGATGATCTCAGAGTGCGAGAGGAAATCATTCTGCCCGTGATGTTTCACAAACAGCAAATTGGCTGTGATTACCGTGATGTCCCATCAAAAGTATATTGTGTATAATTCAATGTAGCATGAGGGACAGTCTGTTGCAAATAGAATAATTAAGAGCCTTTCCAATCTGTTGGCTTCTGCCAATTCCCTCCCTCCACTCCAGGATAACTCACATCCACTTTTGCCAGGAAACTCTCCATGTGTTTCCCAACCCTCCCTGCACTTGTTCTGGGCGACCCGCACCATGCCGTCATCGCGAAAGCCGTCCTCTTCGCCCAAGAAGAAGCCCAGCGTCTCGGTCTCGGCCCGTCTCGGCCTGTCACGACTCGGCTTGGCCACGAACAGAATCACCTGTACTTTTGGGGAGACCTCCGCCACTGCTTGATTGAGTAGGCGCCCACTTAATTTAAGTCAGGACTATAGGAGGCTCCCAGCTACTGGATGCAGGATAGCTCACGGCTCACGCTTCTATTCATTTCGTTCCTACATTCCTAGATTATAGAAGAAAATAGAGAATGATTTTGCAGGCCTCGAGTGAAGTGGTTTCTTGACGGTTTCTTGTCTCGCTGCGTTTTGCAAGGATGGGGGATCTCACTGGGTCCTGCAGTTGGGATTCGCTTTGGCTGGAAGCAGGCGTCCTTACGACCACGGTCGTATAAAGTTTTCAAAGTAACCTCTGGAGTCACTCGTATTTCCAATATAGAGAGAGAGAGAGAAAGATGTGCTTGGTAGCCAATAGATAGATGCGTGAGCTAACACATCTACACCCTGCAAGTTATCCATGCGTGCGTAATTTTAGTCTTCCGCACTCTAATGACACATCTTCGCTCTCCCCCTTCCACAGACCCGCGCAAATGTCTTGTGAACCATCTCACACACACTCAAGATATTGCGTACTGAACTGAATGCCGCTCGCCCCACGGCAACCTAAGTGACCATATTCCTCAGAGTACAGGTGCAAAGAAACCTGAAGGTAAAAAGGAGCGGAGTGCCATCAAAGTGTCAAAGACTCAAGTGAATCGAACGATCGGCGAGTGCAAGTCTGCAGAATGGTGAACCGATGCAAAGGCTGGCAATCTCGTTGCAGTTTAAAAGGGGCCCAGTGGGAAGTGAAAGTCATCACTGAAGCAGGTACGTCATCAGGCGTCCCTGATGATATCCTAGGAGCGCATGAGGAGCTTCGTTGGATGGAGCCTCATACGTCCTCTCCATCCCCTTGCTAGTCGAGTCAAAAAAACAAAACAAACCAAATCAACAGATTCCCTGTGATTCCCAGGGTACTGTACACACTGGGAAGACTAACTATCCACCTCTTGGAGATCGCAGCCAAAAACGGGATCTTTGGCAATCCATCCTTTTCCCTTCAAAAGGGAAGGGTGACCAAATCTGGTGGACCGAGCGTTAGTCAGTCTTTCTTCACGCTTCGACTCGCCAAATGAAGAGGAATCCAGTGGCCTTGAAGGCCAGGTTCCAAATGCATCGCATGGAGCGCAAAATGATGGAATGGCGCAAGATGTATTGGAGTGCCATCAAAAAGCTCTAAATCAGAAAGTTCCGCAGTGAGACCTACTCAAAGAGTTTTCCCAAAAGCCTGGGCCTTGGGTCATCGTTGACCTCAAAAAACAATTGGGACTATCGACGAGTTATCGGGATTTCATACAACAAAGCTATCCAACGCCACGAGAGTTACATCCATCCCCGCCTCTTGATGCACATCCGGCAGTAGCTCCTCTCCACAGCGCTGTGGCGAGCCGCCTGCCACGCCTCCTGCATCACAGATTCCGTGTCTCTATTGGCCACAGGCCAAGAGTACGAAGCGTAACACCGTGGAACATCATGAGATAAAGAAGGCCATCATCTTTGATACTCCGCATTCAAGGGCCAATCCGCAAGGCTTGGATCCCCGAAGACCCGCCACCTGAACAATCCTGAACTCCGAAGACCCGCCAAAACGCCCCACGCAATCGGCGCAACTGTCCTCTGCGGCAACTCTGAGATGCTGAGACTAGCCCACTCTCCCAAACGCCCCGGGCCTCGGGGTCCGGTCCCACCAGAAGGTGCCGGTACTGCATCTGGACCTCCTGCGGGACCCGTGGCGGACGGCCGGGGCAAAGGGTGCTTCGGTCGTGGATTCTCTCCGTTGGGATGAAACCGGTTGATGGAGTGGTAAAGTGCCACGGTCAAAGTGTCAGAAAGGGTGAAATCTTTGAAGACTTGCTGCAGAGCATGTTGAGGCCTCATATTGCGCCGGATTCTGTGCTGGGAAGGCATCAAATTTCTTTGTCCTGACATTGAGGGTTGCATTGGTGTGGTGCCTGATTCTTCTCTGACTGCGGGCATAAAAACCCAGCGACTGAGACCAATCTCACCCCCAAGTATACAAACACAACCCTGGGTTCATAGTGTCAAATATCTTCTATTTAGGATCCTGCGCCAGGTGAAACAAACATCTTCGAGCTGTCGAGTTTCTCTCACCCGCCAAAGGATACATTCCAAATCATTCCAAGCACAGGCACCTTGAAGACTCTCGGCTTCCAAGAATGCCAGGCATCAGGATCGGCCACCTGCGGAAAAAAACACCCAGCAATGCAAAGACTGCCAGAACTTAAACAAGGTTGATGTGTTTTCTTTGTTTAAGCCTGCCCTTCCTTAATTAAGTAGGCGCCATTTAATTGATCAAGTAGTGGACAAGCTCGCTCCTAGCTACTTTTAAGCTTCAAGCAACTGGACGCAGGATAGCTCACGCTTCTTCAAAGAAGCTTCCTTTAGGAAGCGCTCACACTATATAATGATTTTGCTCCTAGATTTGGTTCCTAGTGTGGACCACCATGCCTCAAGAGCAACACTTCTACCTCCTTCGACCAGAAATGTGTTGATTATACTGAAAAAGATTGCGTGTCTGGAATTCACACTGCTTCAACACTGGAAGCCGATTCGGCCAGCCAGAGCGTCAAGCCCAGTTGGTGTGTGTGTGTGACCTTCTTTTTCGCCTATGGACTTAGGAAGATAGGTCATGTGCCTACTGCCTGGGAAGGGGAGATTCTGGGATAACACAAGCACCAGCTTTCTGACAGATTGGCAAGAGCTTGTCGGCTTGTAAAAGTATCGCTCACATGAATCTCAAGCAGCACAAGCACCTTCTCCTCATCGTCAACATTGTCAACTCCAGTGCCCATTGCTGTTAAGCGAGTGGACACCAATGGCCGACAGGCTCGTTCATGTTTCGGGCTTAGCTTTTCAGAAAGAATACAGCTATATAGATCTATATAGATGGTGAGAGTGGACAAAGTACGCAGGTGACCTCCCTCTGCATCATGAGCATCAGTGTACTTAGCTACACCATGCTGACCCTCCATGAGCCCTCCAGTTGCCTTCAGTTCTGATTGAAACCTGTTGTTTATACATATATAATTCAACCTGCAAAGTACCTAGCGTTCACAGCGCATAATGCTTGCCATCTCTGATGCTAGCTTCATGCCTCTTGGATTTTCTATGCATAATGACCTTTTCGGTGAATTCCTTGAGCCCAATGAGCAACACCCCCATGACGAAAACTACTTGAGGTTTACCTGAAGGACTAACTGATCCAGTGAGAGCCTCACAGTTGAGCATATACCGCTTAGCTTGTTCGTCTGGCCTACCCCTCTTCCCAGTGCGGCTTGAGAGGCACCTTCCTTCAGACACACCCAAACTTCGATGCCTGCTTCTTCAGAACCAATGCGCCTTGAAAAACCTGGGCCTTGTGCTTTCAGAATGACAGAGAACTGCCCCTGAGTACAAATACCGAAACACCCGCACCAGGGTTCTGGTATGTGTTCAGAAGAATTGCACGGGATCAATCAACTTGGTGGAACCCATCCAAAGTGTCTGCTCAAATTTGCAATCCTCCACCATTTGATACAGTCATCTTGAGGTCCAATGTCTTGAGAAATCCCACTACTTACGGGCTTTAAGATGCTCCCCTCTCCCAAATGTTGGCACAGGCCCCTAGTCCCTAGGCCCTAGGCGGCGCCCCACCACCTGAGATTCCCGGCCACTGAGCAGGGGCCCAGAGGCATGCAAGGCTTTGTACAGGCGGTTCACTGCTTGAGTGCTCCTCATCAAAGCATTGGTCGTCACATGTGCAAACAGACCAGCTGCCAACGTTTTAGACCTGCCCCAAGTGAAGAGCGAATCCTGCGACACAAACCGTCGATGTCACCACCAGCGCCGATCCTGGGGACGGCAGTAGTGAACGAAACCAAACCAACGAAACCAAGCACAACCAATCCTGGATGATGCAAGGTCAAAGCACGAGAAGTGCTTGTGAGTTGGCTTTCCTCGTGTCCTCTGTGCGCATCCTGAAGAATCATGGTTGTGAGTCTTCCGGTAGATTTCTATCTCTCATGGTGTTTGACCCACCGCACACAGTCTCTCCTTCGCATGGTGAGGATCAAATGAGAGGCCCGCAGAAGGTCTTGTGGCACTCCGTCTTCCGCCGCACAGTTACCACCAAGCAAATGGACGCGTGAGGCCTGACCAGCAAGCTGCGGACTGTGCCAGAAACAGGGGCAAAAAGAAGCACTAGTGCCTTTGAATGGGCTCCCAGGGTTCGCAGGCACCACCAAGTCCTCCTCTATGCCACAAAAAAACGTGGTCATGGCACTCGTCTCAATGGTCATGACATTGCTGAACGAAGAAAACAAGAACATTTGAGCAACGGGATGGCTCGATTGAAAGAGTGTGCTTGTTTGTGCGAGTTATCCGCCGACCCCGGCCTATAGCCAAAGCCTAGGCGGGGAGGCGCCTGGGACACCGCAGGGTGAAGCAGTTGGCCAAGCCTAGCAGAACCCTTCAAGCACTTCCAAAGGCGCAGGATGCAGCAGTTGGCCAAGCCTAGCAGAGCCCTTCCAAGCACTTCCAAAGGCCTGTCCGAGGCCTCACCAGCTGGCCGGCCTGTTGCGGCCTCTCTGTGGCCTGTCCGAAGCCTGCCTCCTCTCTTCTTTTGGGCTTCCGAAGGCGACGTTTAGGCATTTTGGACCGCCTTCAAAAGCTTTTCGGCCTCTTGCGGCCTCTCTGTGGCCTGTCCGAAGCTTCTCGGCAGCCGGCAGGCCTCTTGCGGCCTCTCTCTAACCTGTCCGAAGCCTGCCTCCTCTCTTCTTATGGGCTTCCGAAGGCAACGTGAGGCATTTTGGACCGGCTTCAAAAGCCTCTCGGCAGCCGGCAGGCCTCTTGCGGCCTCTCTGTGGCCTGTCCGAAGCCTGCCTCCTCTCTTCTTATGGGCTTCCGAAGGCAACGTTAGGCATTTTGGACCCGCTTCAAAAGCCTCTCGGCAGCCGGCAGGCCTCTTGCCGCCTCTCTGCAGCCTGTCCGAAGCCTGCCTTCTTTATGGGCTTCCGAAGGCAACGTTATTCAAAAGCCTCTCGGCAGCCTGCAGGCCTTTTGCGGCCTCTCTGTGGCCTGTCCGAAGCCTGCCTCCTCTCTTCTTATGGGCTTCCGAAGGCAACGTTAGGCATTTTGGCTCGGCTTCAAACGCTCCCCAGAGCCTCACCGCAGCCTTGCCCTCTTCTCGGCAGGCTTCCGAAGGCGACGTTTAGGCATTTTGGACTGCCTTCAAAAGCTTTTCGGCCTCTTGCGGCCTCTCTGTGGCCTGTCCGAAGCTTCTCGGCAGCCAGCAGGCCTCTTGCGGCCTCTCTGTGGCCTGTCCGAAGCCTGCCTCCTCTCTTCTTATGGGCTTCCGAAGGCAACGTGAGGCACTTTGGACCGGCTTCAAAAGCCTCTCGGCAGCCGGCAGGCCTCTTGCGGCCTCTCTGTGGCCTGTCCGAAGCCTGCCTCCTCTCTTCTTA